TGGTGGCCACTTTTATGCATTTTGCTTGTTGTTGTTGTTGTTCTGTGTTTATTTCCTTCTTTTGCGCTTGAAGCTTTTGATCGACGAAAAGCTGAATCATACATTCTTTTCTTATTTCTTTCACATATTGGTGCCATGGCAATATCACGAGAATGTATAGCTTTGTGCAAACATCAAATGGTTGCAAGCAGTAACGGTTGTGCTTGGACTTGTATTGAAAAAAAAAAAAGGCATAAGTGTATTTACTCTCTCAGTATTTCTGTTTCGTTACTTTATGACAAATGGGTGTTGTTGCCATATGGTTGATAGTGTATTCAGGAGAAACCAAAGGGCCATCGTCAATAGGAACGGCAGCATATTGAGTAGACGTTGGCGAGGAGAATTACACAACGCTAACCGTAGGTTGAATGACATGGGAGTTGTCATCGTTGGTGAGTTCAACCTTGTTGATAGATTTATACTCGCGGCTACGACACTTCTTGCTAAGGTGACCGACCTTGTTACAGTGTCCACAGATAGGAGTACCATCCTTTGTTCAGTGGCGCAAGGGATGCTGGAGGCGACCAGAAGAGCGTACAGCACCTGATGCACCCTTGGAAGAATCACCTTGCGAATGGTAGGGTGTTAGCTTTCGTTGGAAAGCGTTAATTTCCATAAGAGAAGGGCCAGCGGGAAAGTCGAAAGAAGAAGGATTAGCCATAAGAGCGGGAGCAGAACGAAGAGATATCACCCATAATATCTTGGAGCAACGTACCTTAGCAACCCAGTACATCTTCAATGACAGCAGCAACATTAGCCATCTCCTTCCAAGAAGTAAGAGAAGCGACGTTAGGAAGTACGGCAGCACGCAGACAAGAGTTCATCCTACGAAGGTAGATAGCACGAAGAGTCTTGGCATCCAAAGTATGAAATCGAGGACCACAGAGTCGAAGAGGATTTTATACCGCTGAAAAGGCATACTGTCTTGACGAAAGGCTTCAAGATCATTACGAAGGTAAGTCTTGTAACGTTCATCAGAGACACCAAAAGTAGCAACGAGAGATGCCCTGAGACTTTCCCATGTAGTGTCAGCTTGAACACGGAAAACTCCACGAGTAATGTCATCAGACAAGTACAGAGCAATTTGCAATCTCTTGTGGCTGACAGAAAGAAACAACTGATCACATTATGTTTCGTAGTCGGCGATCCAACGATTGAAATTGGTTGAGGGATCGTATTTAGAGTAGATAGGAGTGTGGGCCAAGCGACTTTCAGAGACTAATTGAGAAATTAATCCAACGAGACGATTTTCAGCTTCAGACATGATAGGGATCCAGAGAGAAAGGTAGTGATAAATACCAAGAGAAAAGAGAACAGAAAGAGTAACGATAAAGACCGAGTAATAGAATGTATACTCATATGCAAAAATATCATCATGAAGTTTTGAGTACTTCACTGCCCTTTCTAGAATCATGTAGGTTTTTTTTCAGAAAATCCTAATCCTCAACAGTTGATCGCGAACGAAAATCAACATTTTTTTCTATTATCCTCAGCATGGTCAAAAGAGAATACAGTATGGAACTTGTGCTTCTGTACAAGTGTCGTCTAATATTTGAATTATATAAATGGTAATGGTTGAGCAAACGAAAATAGATATATGTTTATACGTTACCTTTTTCAGTCATTGCGTACATCTTTTTAAGCTTCTGGTTTGATTAATGAATACCTGTTGCTGGCAACCAGGTACTATTGTTTAAAACATGGAGGGCTTCATCGCTTACATTCAACATATCCATGAACGTATTGTCGTTAATGTCTATGCAGTGTTCAAAAAGAAAAATGAAGCATTTCATTTGGGCCACAGACTGTCCATTCATGCATTACAGATTCAATATAAGCAATTAAACAAGGTTTGACCTTGAAAATATAAGTGTGATTGGAAAATGCTAACATGTAGTTTTTGAGTAGATCAATAAAAGAAACAGACAATAGAATCTTATGAATACAATCACGAAACGGAGGAACTAAAAGAATAATGGAATCTGCTTAGAGTTGACTCTGGTCTTAAAACAATGGCATCTGTCTCACTTTTGGAAATTCTAATGGATACTTAAATACAGTCAATACAAACAAGTCTGTGCCAAAAAATAGCCTACATCATACAAACTGTCTCAAATAAGACTGGATACGCCTGTAAACTAAAAGTTGGCCAACAAGCATTATGTACCTGCAATCTGCCTTTATTGCATTTAAACGTATGCTGCTGATAATAAAGAATGTTCATGCTTACTGTCTATGTTATTCGATGATTTAATAAAGATATTTGTCCTCAAGTGCTCTTTCAATAATTATATGGCATCAGATTTAATCATAAGCGTCTACTTTGAATGCTTTACTGTCGACGACTCATTCAAACTACAGCAACTACACTTTTAGAGATTCAATATCAAAATTAACATACCTAATTGACGATACAGATGTTCTTTGCATATAGTTAAAACTAACAGTTTAAGATTTGATTGGGTTAGCAAAGAGCTTAATTTAATAATGAAACTCATGCAACGTACTATTTCGATGATATTAAAGTGGCCATCCAAGTTCATGAGTGTCCCTGGCGATTGGCTTTACCAGCAAGAATAACAAGATAGCTGTGCTTCTATAAATTGAAAAACGACTGAATGCATACTTGCTTTTATTGGAGAAGGACAGTATTTCTATTAACAGGGGGTACTATACGACATGCTCAAAGAATAGCTTTCGATGGACAGAAACAGCCCCAGCGCTCTCAAGTTTTCGTTTGAATGGCTACACAAGTTTAAGAAAAGATATTCCCTGAAATTTTGACGGATCAACAGTAATTCTGCTTCTGTTAGGCTTACATAAATAGGATCTTGAGAACAGCTCGTTCCAGTCAAGAAAGAGCTGCCACAATGCAACATTTGAGACTGTTGTACCCAACTTTTTGTTTTGTAATTTAAAATGGGTCCATTAAGTTGATGACTTGCGAATTAGATTCATTATTAAAAAAGAGAGGAATGCTATTAAAGTAGATTGAGTTTTACTTGAGGTAGAGGATCTACAACTGTTATTTATTTAGTGTCTTCCCTTTCACTTTAAGCCTTTAACAGACCATTAAACACGTGGCTAAAGCTCATGCTCTGCTTTTCTTCTGGTAAAGAATTCGAGCAGTATTGAGCAATAAATACACTTGTTCATTTCAATTTTCTTCAGTATAATACACCACTTTAATAATCAATTACTTTGTTTCAAATCATAAACAGGCGTCATGTTTATTTCAAAAGTGTCAACGAAAAAAAAAAGCTTATACGTAGCACAAAAATTGCATGAGTTTTTTTCTTGACATAACAACATCGACTAGTTTCAATATTAAAAGAAAGAGAGAAGCTTTTTAATAAGCAATGACAAGCATTGACGCCCAAAAATAGAATAAAGGCATTACATGTAAATTTAAAAAGATCTTAGTTGTAACTATCTTAAAACACTACAGGCTAACTAATTTTTCTCCAAGCAACATCTTCTTAATGGCAACAGCTTCTTAATTTTTCTTCAAACAATATCTTCTTAAGACAACCCTCTCTTAATTATTCTTCTTTTGCTATCGCCTTAAAAATAGCATTAATTATTTTTCTTTCACCATCTTCTTAAACGCCACCGTCTCTTAATTGTTCGTATAATCTAAAGTAGTTGGTTAGAAATATAATGCCACCTATGGCTTTTAAGCGTTACCTTCTTTCAATTAATCATTACTCCCTTTCTTCTGCCTTCAATTAATTGTTCTTGCCTCTTTCATCGTTCAAGTAAGAAAAAAGACTCCAACAAGATACGTTATTCTTATATGACGTGTCATTCTCAATCTCATTGGTCACATACAAAGGAAACAGACAGCTTCTTGCGTCGGACATAAGCTCTCTCTTTACTTTTTAAAAAGTAAAACAGTCGACGTATGATGATCAACAAGTACGATATCCTCAATGTATTAACTATGAAAAGGACATTTGAACAGTGCCTCTAGTATTATCCATGGACAACGGGGTTTGGTGAATACAATAAAAGAAAAGAACAGCAGTCTATTTGTTTAATAAAGTGCTTTTATAGTCTTTGGAACATACTGTTTGGAATCTTATTACAATGGCTGAACGGCATGGAAGTGGAAGTTTTGCGTTCTTCATCTTAGTTGTTCCAGCCTGTATATATAAGATAAAAGTGGCTATGCAAAGGGAACACGTAGTTGACTTGTTTTTTTTTATAGCTCAGTTGCAAAAGGTACACATGGGTTACTATTTGTACGAGTTATGCCACTGATGGACGCTTCTGAAACGCTTTTCAGGGCGTGGTCTTTAAGAGCACTAAATGGACTTTACCTATTCTTTTTCAATAGAATATTTTATTGCTTGTAATCAAATTTATGATGGCTGTAGCACAGTTACTTTGGATTCTCATGAGCCGAGTGCTAGTTGCATTGATTGTTAACCAAAGCAAGGCTTGTAATTTAATGGAAGCAGGGCGATTTTTATTGTAAAATAACATGAGATCGGATGTGTATGTATGAATATATATAAATATATATATATGTATAAGAGAAAGAAAGAGGATATAATATATAGAATATGCATCAAAAGAGAGTGAGTGAGTGATTGCATAGATAAAAGAAACAAAGGACAAAGGAAAGTTAAGGGTGGTTCAACAGGTGAATATTTTTTAAGGAATGGATAAATCACATATAGAATTCTACAAGATTAAGTAATATTAATAGTCGTCGTCTGATAAAGCTGTATGGGGACGGTGATCCATCATGGCAGAGCCTCTCCACCCGCTATCCTTACTGATCAAGACTGAGGTATCTGATTTCTTTAAATAGTTGGCATCTGCCCACTCTTTGATAGCATCTAACATGGTCAAGATCTTATCCTCGTTACCTCCAAACACATCTTTTTACAATATGGTTAGCTTAGAAAAGAGAATGACATTTTGCAAGTTACCTTTAATCGTGTATCGTCCATCAACCTCTACACCCTCTCTACCCATGAACTTGAAGGCAGCAACAATGTTATCAAGCATCATAACACTTACAGAACCACCCTTTTGAGCAGGAGGTCTGCGAATCGTCTTTTGACTGATGGCTTCAAGTAGTAAAATGAGGGTATCACCGTTTCTGAATGCACTAGTAAGATCAATGACTTTTTTACCAGGAGGTAAATAAGAGTTTATCCATTCGATATATTGAGCAGCATTCCAATGATGCGGTCTGTACTCTTCTTCATAATCATCCTCTTCTTCAGAAATACTGGATGTTATACTATGGTGGGAATCACTAAGGGGTAAGCTACGATGTTGAGGATCAATCAGATCTTCTTCTTCTTCCTCATGCAGATAATGTTGCTGCTGCTGCTGTTGTTGTTGTTGTTGTTTTTGATATTGAGATGGTATTTCTGGTATATCTTGTTCTTCCTCTTCTTCATGAATGATATGATGTGTGATGCCTGATTCTCGCATTTGTCTACTATGATATTCTGAAGTAGTTGAGGCATTAGGCTGGCCATCTTCTTCTACCACAGGCATCTTGAGTGCATCTTGATTATTATTGGCTTTTGTTTGCTTTTGATTTTTATACATAATCACAGAGGGAGGTCTTGGTCTCATACGTCGTGCAACATCAAGGGATACAGTGGCGATGTGATTGGATGACATTACAGGTGCTGACAGTACACGAAATAAATGAGCCATGTTTGACTGTGACATATTAATTAAGTGTCTTACCTCTAAAGTCTCTTGCAATCGTTGTTTTCATGAGCATCTTTAACCAAGTCCTCATGGCTTCTTCTGTGTCTGTATAAAAGTAAAAGGTTCTTTCGTATTCATGTTGTGCTTTGAAGCAATATTTGCCAGCGTGAATAGTTTCGTCTACGATGATTTTATATCCTCTTAAATTAATTATTCCCTTCATGCGCACTTCCTAATATTTATTTGTTAATTGGAGAGGGCTTGGCATTGCTGTACAGTCAACTTACTTTGGGACTCTTAAAATAGAAAAGGTTGGTTCCTTTAAGGACAAACCAGCGCTTGTTCCACGTCTTGTATTTATCACTTTGCTTATGTAACCAACCTTCATGCTCTGGTGCTTGAAATGCTTCTGTTGTGGATGCACGATAAGGAGATTCATCAAATGATAGCTTGTACGAGTTTGCTGTTTGCCTGTGCAATGAAGATCAGTAATTATAAAAGTACAAAGCAATTATGTCTTACAATGACTGTTTTGGTGTTGATTTCGAAGTGACTGGTTGAATATTAGAACTTGTCTATACAAAAAAGTTAGAGAAGATACGCATCTTGAAAGAATACATACGTCACTCATCAACCAGTGACTTGTCTCATCTAGTGCACGCTGACCCATTTGAGATAGAGTTCTGTTGGCAAACCCTTTTGGATCTGGACTAAGCTCTCTGCTTCGTGTTGTACGACTTCCGCCAGAGGATACTGTGTTGTATGTGTTTGATCGACTGATACCTGAAGAGCTAAGGCTTTGAGGAGACAAGGGCCTGGGAATGCTGGTCGATATAAATGAATTCGTCTCGATATCATGACTAATAGGAGGTAAAGGTGCTTTCCTCGGAAATTGATAAAGACCATCGTCATTTGTGCTACTAGATGATGTGTTTTGTGAGTTCGATCGACGTAAGCTAGTAGAAGCTCTACTAGGTGTTGAGCGCATAATGGCACTAGTCGAAACAGATGCGTTAGGAGCAGGCGGTGATTGATGACCGTTGGTTTGCTTTAATTTCTAAGGAGTGGAAGGATAAATATGTGTGTTTCAAATAATAAAAACGTAAAATAACTCCTTACTTCAACACCGGATTCGTCTCTTAAAGAAGTAATGGCCTGCATAATTTTATATCGTTTACCAAATGTGTTTATGCCTAGTTCTTTTAATGCTTCAATGTTCAAATCCAACAAGATATCACCCGTGATTTCTTGGTCAATAAAGTTTTGGGATACTGATTCGAACCCAACAGATCTGAGCCAATCTGCTACTTGTTGAACATCCCATTGCTCCACTTTATTGTTGACTGGATATGATGATTGTATTCGAGATATGGTATCATCAATTTCATCTTCAATGGTTGATCCGGATGAACGTGAAGATAAGTGCGGACTAGGTATGTAAAGTTGCTTTTGTGGTTTTTCCGGTGAAGTGTAATTCATTGGAAAGAGTCCAGTCTCGCCTTTGATATTACGTCCCTATGGAAACATGTTAGACTAGATTATTTCTACTTGCAACCACAGGTTACCTGCCACCATCCATCGAGATATTTTTCATCTTTTTCTAATACAACAATAGGTTCACCCACCGAAAAGTTAATTTCATCTTCATTTTCGGCTTCAAAGTTGTGAACAGCATAGACGATGTTGCTCATATTTTATTCAAGCTTAAAGGAAAGTAAATGACTAAAAAGGAAATTAATGAAAGTGAAGGAAAAACGGACAAGTAGGGGGAAGAAAAAAGAAAGAAAGAATAAAGAGGAGAGGAAGCGAAGAGGGACAAGAGAAAGACCTTTTTTTTTTTTTTTTTTAAAAAAAAAGGTGCTTCGGAGTCAAATGCTGTACGACAAGGTTTATATAATAAAGGCAAGCGACAAGGAATCATTTATGAATTGTCACACTCCATTATTCTCTTCATTCTAACAACAGTTTACACCAAATGAGGCTTATTGTTCTCTTCCCTTTTGATATTCTTTTTCCTTTTCTTTTTCTTTATGATCGATCCAACTATTCGTCTTTCTTTCTCCTTTAAGATTTGTTAGTGTTTGTTAGTGTTAACTGCGGTTAGTCAATTGTATCCTTATATTACACAAATTAAACCTGATTATATCCCCCTCCTTTTTCTCTCTCTTATACGACTCATTCAAGGAACTCATCAGGTTCTTTATTGTGTAAACCATCCTTTTATTTTCTGTTTCAGACACACATTTTATTGGTTGATCTATGTGGGGATGTTACTCAATGAAAGAACCAATTCATTTTCTTCAATGATATCTCTCTACACATCCTGCTGCTCAACCTTTCCTTTCTCTGTTCTGTGTACTTCTGTATCCTCCCGCCCTCGTACAAAAATTTCAATTGTTATTTTTTTTGGGAGCCTGTGAGACTATTTACACCAACCGTTGTTCTTTTTTCTTCGATTTTTTTTTCTGGTGTTTTTTTTTCTTCTTCAATAACAACATTATGTCAGCAGTGAGAAAAGTACGTTGGTCAGAGGCTGACGACAATAAGGACAATGAAGAAGACGGCTTACAACAACAAGAGGATTATGTTATGGATAATCAACCGTCAGTAGACCAACCAAATACACCAGCAAATTCGTGGGCATTTATGCCAACCACTAATTTCACTGCGCATAATCCTTATCAAGATGAAGAAGATTATAGCGAAGAAGACGACCAAACAAATAGTGAAGAAGAAGATGACACAGCACTTAACCAGCTTTATGCTCGTAATCAATCCTTGTCTTCAGCCCCTCCTGAAATTACACATGAACGACTAGAATGGCAACAAATGCTTCAATCTGTCCTTATGGGAGAAGTACTCAAGTCTGAAAAGAAGAGACTCTCGAGTTCAGACAAGTTCCAGCAACCTACACCTACACAAGAAATCTGGCTGGCCCTCCGTGCTTTACTGCGTGGGAGAACACTCTTGGAAGAACAGAAATGCTTAGAAGACAGTAGAAAAGAAATCGAAGGCATTTTAAAAATGGTCATTGAATTCAAACTAAACGACATAAAGGACCAAAGCACGGCATTAAGGAAAGTAGCTGAAGTCCTAAAGAATATCGATCGTATCGAATCTCTCTATACCACTCGTGCTGCGATCACTCAAGCTCATCCAGACTATGGTTCTGCTTCGTTCCAAACAAAATTAGACGCACTCAACGCCTGGTGTACGATCACCCGCAGCTTGAGCATGCAATATAAAATATTAAGAAACTGGACAGGCTCAGAAAGCCTGCAGATTGCAAGAAAGATGTCAGAAGATGATACTACGACAGTGACTATTAAAAATGATAAAGTAAAGGAGACAAAGCAAGATAATAAGAACGACACATCTTTTGTCGAAAGGCTCTTGAAAGAATCCGCTCTGCAAGACACCTTTGACAAACGCACCCTTTCGGCTCTCAATTTACTGCTCGTCAAATCGAAACAGACCATGATTTATTATTCCAAGTCCTTTGAAGAAATGAACTTGCCGTCTTTTACATCTCAACTTCGACAGCTGGCATACTTTCCTATTTCACTAGTTCAAGAAGCTCTCAAGCTGCGTCTAGAGTACAAGGACCGTACGAACGAACCACCAAAACAAATGGTAGACGCCATGATGGAAGATTATCGTGGCCTGATCTCACTGGCTTGCAGAGTTAAACTTCAGTATCAGGACTTGATGTATTCTGCTCCAGGCTGGGACCTCTCGCCAGATGAATCCGTCGATAGAGACTATGACACTGTCTTGATGGAATCCGTTCGATTTTACTTTAAACTGATCACTTGGAAACTTAATTTTGAAAAAGAGAATAGCCTTAGAGAATGCGAAGTCATGGAAAAGGAGTGGGGGTTCCTGAAAAACTCAATTTGTCAGGCTGTGGATAAGGCAGATTGGGAGTGTGCTGAGCACTTTTGGTAAATCTAAAAAGAAACGGAGATGCATTGACTAATCTCCATTATAGTTCATTAACAAACAGGTTATTAGCAGATGTCATGCGTGATTATATATCCAGCTTAAAGATACCACCAGAAGCAGTGGATGATGGTATTGAAGCCAAGTATACAAAACTATTACACACTATGCGCATGCGAGCGAGAAAGCTTTTACAGTTTGCAAGGTAAATTGAACAACCCACGCTTTTGTTCATTGACCCTTACCCTTTCTCTCTGTGTGGGGTATATTGCTTAGATTTTTCATGGGTCAATTCGAAAATGCTGCAGAATATGTTGTAGACCCCGAAAATATGGATAAATTTATTACATGCCTTGTCGAGACTGGCCATTTCCTGGTCTACACAGGCACATTTGAAGAAGACCGAATATACATCATAGCTTCGCCTTCACTGTACGGACGAGAAGATGTGGTACGGTCGATTGTGAAGTCATGCTTTGCGTATGACAAATCACCTCCACCAAGCGCGACGCCAATCATGATGAATCCTGACAACGCAGAAGACTATGTCTTGATCTTTTCACCTTGGCAGAACATTATGTGGACAGGAGAGGTTGTCGAGGTGTCTATTCCATTTATCCATTTAGGCATCAAGACTCGTCGTGTTCGACTGACGACAGGAGACTCGAGCGACCTTTCCCCGGCCAAAGCAGCCTTCTGGACGGCCGTGCAACACTCAGGCGTTGAAATTGTACAGGAGCATCGAGCACATATACCAAGAATCAATAAGGAACTGTACAAGATCAAAATGACTGTCTTCAAACTGGCTGATTCTACCATCTCGAGCGTAGGCACAATCCGTGAGCAGACGATGTCTCTAGGATGTCAGGAGCTCGTGGAAGAATGCTTTAGTTTTGCAAGCGACTTTGGTATCAGGGCAGCCAAGTTTTTGGAGCTAGCAGTGCGTCTTCAGCTCGACTTGAAATTGGTGCGGTTGGCTATCGATTGGATTTGTTTTATCACAGATGACTGCGTGCCGTCTGATCGAAAGACGTTCCGATGGGCTGTTGCTGCGCTCGAGTTTGTTCATCTGATGACACGTGGAGCAAACATTCTCGCCTTGAATGAAAACGAGTTTGCAACACTACAGAGCAAGGTAGCAAGGTGCGTTGCATTGCTGATATCTCACTTTGATGTCCTCGGCACTCGATACACATATGAATTGCAACTCAAGGCAGAGCAGCAACGACGCGGTGGTGTTACAGCCAAACGCAACTCGTACATGACGTCTAGGAGTAGTGATAAGGATAACATTACGACGAGTTCTACGTTTGGAGCCGCAAATGATGCAGCTATCACAGGCGGTGGTGGCGTGATTTATATTCGTGATGCTTGGATGCGCAAGATATCTGAACTTGAAGAGAAGCGTAACAAGGATGAGCAAGAACGTAAGATTATCGGTAAGATCTTGGACGATCAAAAACCAGAGGATCAATCACTTGTGTTCCTTGCTCCTTCGTCTTCCAATATCTCTTTCCGTTGGCAACAAGGTCGATTCATTGGGGCCGGTACCTTTGGTTCTGTCTATTTGGCCATCAATTTGGACACATCTTCGGTTATGGCGGTAAAAGAAATTCGATTCCCTGACTCAAGTTCTCTTTCTGCTTTACACAAGTCAATCAAGGAAGAAATGAAGGTGATGGAGATGCTGCATCACCGAAACATTGTACAATATTATGGTATGGAAGTTCACCGTGATCGTGTGTATATCTTTATGGAATACTGTGAAAATGGAAGTCTAGGCGCTCTATTGGATCATGGTGGGCGTATTGAAGATGAGCTTTACGTGGTCGATTACGCGTACCAGTTACTGAGTGGTCTTGCCTACCTGCATGAAAATAACATTGTACACAGAGACATCAAGCCTGATAATATCCTAATTGATTATCAAGGTCAGCTGAAGCTCACAGACTTTGGTGCAGCAAAGATTTTAGCAAAGGGACAAAAGACAATGGGACGTACTACAATGCATATGAATGTGAATAGCTTAGCAGGCACACCGATGTATATGGTAAGTTTAACATTTCCATTAAATTCTCTCTTAACTCACTATGACTTAGGCACCTGAAGTTATCACTGGAAGCGATACGGGGCGAAAAGGCTCGATGGACATTTGGTCTCTTGGCTGCTGTATTGTTCAAATGGCTACTGGTCGCCGTCCTTGGAGCACGCTTGAAAATGAATGGTCTGTCATGTACCATGTCGTGACTGGCCATCCACCACTTCCTGACGCTTCCCAACTTTCAAGCATGGGCATTGACTTTTTGAAAAAATGCTTTATCCGTGACCCAACAAAGAGACCCACCGCCGAAGAATTACTACAGCATCCATGGATTACAAACTATCTGGAAAGCTACAACGAAGACAACAATATGTATCCTCCTGAATCGGAGTATGACGATCAAGTGATTGAAAATAGCTGGCCATCTGAAGCTCCAGAGCCTGAGGATGTGTCATCCATCGTACGATCGATCAATTCAGCTCAATCTCTAGATCGGCCACTGGTTCGAAGTATTCCCAACAGTTTGGCTCTGGACGGCATGGCTAATAGCTTAGAGAATGGTGCACAAGCACAAGCTTATTTCCGTGAAATTGCTGCTCAACATGCTTCAGACATGCAGTGGAGTAAGTAATTCCTTTAATCTTTAATCCTGTCTTTTTTTTTTGCATTTTTATCTTGTATGCATCTGTCATTTCTTACATACTTAATACATAAATACTTTTTGTAAATAATGTATACGACAATTATACCATTTTATTTGCTTTATTTTCATAACCCTAGGGGTTTCAGACAACCTTGTGGGGTATATACGTGTGTGTTAAATGGCACTTTACCAATAAGATGCATATGAAAGGGTTTCTTTTTTTTTTTTTTTTTTCCTGTATCGATTATGGGAACAGCATAGATTTATTTACTTTTCTCCTCTTTTGACTTCATTATTATTATCATGTCTAGATATTTGCTTGGTCTTTTAGGATCCTTCTTTTTGTTTGCATCTTTCATCCTTGGGCTGTTTATATTGATCGGCCAATTGTCCAATAAGCCATTCATTAATTTGATTGCATTTGTACACGCAATTAATCCACCCAGTAACCTTTCTTATCAATTTGGGTTATGGCAAGTATCTTTAAAAATAACAAGTTACTTTAGGACTCATTTACATGTATAGGTCGTACTGCACTGGTGTGCCCTATGCCTCTGTCCAAAGCTGCCATGGTAATACTGCAGCGTACAATTGGGCAACAACACCTGGATTCAACCAGATGCTACCAGGCTATGCGTCTAGCAGGCGGGTCGATAACTTATTCACAACCAATTTTATCCTTTACTTCATTGGCGCCGGCTTTAGCTTCTTTCTGTGGCTTGCGTCTCTTTTCTCACTGTGTAGCTTCAAAAGACGAGGAGGAAGGGGTTTCAGCATGTTTATGTCGTCCGCAACGTGTCTGACGTTCTTTGTTATGCTTGCTGCACTGATCATTGCCCTTATCCTTGTCATCACTACTGTCAAGGCAATCGGCAGTGTGACCCAGGACTGGCAGGGTCATGCAGGTATTTCAATTTGGTTCACAATCGGCATGGTCATTAGTCTTTTACTCGCCTTTTTATGCTATTGTCTTCGTGCATGTTTTAGGCCTCGAACTGTAGGGCCTCACAAGTCAACATATCGCAAGTCAGCACCATTTGCCCTTCAGGCTCATTCACCTGCAACGTATCCTATGCAACAACATCACCAACCGTATTATTATCAGCAAGAGCAAAAGCCAGAGGCTCAAGATGGTTATATTGCTTCACAGCAAGTAGAACAGCCTCACGATAGCTATATGGCTTCACAGCATATAGAACAGCCTCAAGGTGGTTATATGACTTCACAACATGCAGAACAACCTCAAGAGTATCACCTATATCAACATGCAGAAAGTAGTCAAGCTGCTGCTCAACGACAGCCTGATCATGATCAACATTATTCTCCTGCTTTACATATGCAATACTTGGCGCCTGTTTATAATAGCGGAGTACATCCTGAAGGTGGACTGCAGCACTCTTAATTTAGACTTTATTGGAAAATAAAATTCGGACAAACTCTTTAAATTCCATACGATTTCCTTACTTGACTTGAACAAACCTGTTTGATTCATAGACAATGTGACAGCACTTATCTTCGTTTTTATGAATATGCCTCTCACTTGAAAGGATTGAAGTCTTTTGTAGCAAATTATTGGATATCCAATATTTTGAAATCACTAAGAACCAGTGCTAATCTACATGGCAACCAATCAAAAAAGCAAATCAATTGACAGTTGCTTTAGTCACACATTTGTTACACGCGCCACACTGTCAGAATTCGATTGGCTTAGGAGAGGAATGAATATGCCGATAGGGTTTATTGATGTATGTACATTAAATGAAGTCTTTGGGGGATATTAAGCCTAGTTTTTTGCTTGTATGATGATTTGATCTCTGATAAGGATGATGACGTTTTAGGGATGATTTGTTTGAATAAGGAGGAGTAAGCGGTAAAGAAACAGCTGTTATTGTTGTTGTTGCCTTTGGTGACGTAGATGGTGTATGTGTAGGTGAAGGTACGATTTGATAAGTCGCTGCTGTAGTTGACTGTTGGTGAACAGCGTGCGACAACAATTGGTTTGCGTATTCTTGTAGATCGTCCAAGGCAATGTGTAATTGAAAATCAGCAAAGAATAGAAATTCTAATTCTAATTGGTTCAATTCTTTTAAGGGTAGTCCACCCACTTTAGCATATCTTGCATTTGAATAGAATACATCTGAAGTGAACTTGACGGCCACCACAATACTAATTAAGGTAAGCAAAGGACGAAGGGGTCATTGTTTTTATATTTTTTTTACCTTGCAATGACTAGTCGATGTATGTTGTATGCGTTAATATGAAACCCTTTATTCAATTTATGAACTCGATCAAAATAAATCAACATGGATATTAAAGCTTCATTATCAAAAGGCGCAAATTTATGAATTCTTGAAAGATAAGACTGAATGGTGATATTGGGTATTGTCCTTGAATGAAAGTAAGTAATTTTTTTATCTGGTAAATGCTGATTGGATTCTAATAGGGATTCTATCAAGCGAGATACAATCTGAATAAGTTGATTTGTTGGATATTCTGCAATATTCATGTTTAAAATAGAAAAAGAAAGAAAAGTAAACAACAACATGTCTCTTGCTTTTTTTCCTCTTTTTTATATCCTTTATTGCCTTGATCCAATCAATCAAACTCAATTCAACCACGCGCTAAGCTGAAAGGATGTCTGTTTTTTAAATTTTCTTTTTTTAATTTAATTACCTCGGTTCAAAGGAGTGGCCGGAGTTCGACACGTCTATTTTCTCGTCCAAAGAAAAAGTCGCGCCTCTCAAACAATTTTTTTCTTTTTTTTTCTTGGTTGAATGCATGTCTTCTAGAGAATCAACTCCATTGTCTTTGGAAGACATTCATGAAGACACTGTTTCTGATAAAACTCTAAAAGAGTTGCTCAGAAAAGAAATTGAACTACAACTTCAAATTGAAGCTATTCAAACTGAAATAACACAACTAGAAGAAAGACTAGGTACAAACAACAATGAAGAATTAGACGAACAAGGTAACATAGATCATGTGAATATATTCAACACTTGTTGACATTATACAAAAAGATTTGGAAGAATTTGAAGCACCAGAATGGTGTATTCCTATTAAAGCTAATGTCATGACATATGATTGGGATGTAAGTTTTTGCATATAATTGTATAGAAAACAGTTTAATCATATTACTATAAAGTCACTAGCAAAAGAGGTTCAATTTGATGTCATCGTTACCGACCCACCATGGCAACTAGCTACTCATGCTCCCACGCGAGGTGTTGCTATTGCATATCAACAATTGCCTGATATTTGTATTGAAGAAATTCCTATACCCAAACTTCAAAAGAATGGCTTCCTCTTTATCTGGGTGATCAATAACAAATATGCAAAGGCATTTGAATTGATGGAAAAATGGGGATACACCTATGTTGATGATATCACCTGGGTCAAACAGACTGTCAATCGTCGTATGGCCAAAGGTCATGGTTACTACCTTCAGCATGCCAAGGAAACCTGCTTGGTTGGCAAAAAGGGACAAGATCCTCCCAACTGTCGACACTCGGTTGGATCTGATGTTATCTTTTCAGAAAGAAGAGGTCAAAGTCAGAAACCAGAGGAACTGTATGAACTGATTGAAGAGCTGGTGCCAAACGGCAAATACTTGGAAATCTTTGGGAGAAAGAACAATCTACGTGATTACTGGGTGACAATTGGTAATGAATTATAAATAAATCTTGTTTTTTATTGATAAAGAAAAGAATGTATCACTTGTTGACTATAAAGCTTTGTTTGAGTTACTAATTGCATCAAATAAGCGTGCTTTTGATTGGCCTTGTTGATATAATCAAGTGCTATATCCATCTGTGATTGTTCCTTGGGTATAGTCGCTGTCTGCTGTATTAAATCAATTGCAGTGGTTCCATCCGTGTTTTTAGTAATAGTGTGATATCCAATCAATTCTGATAAAGTGACATTAATACAATCATCTTGCTTTTCTTGCATTTTTTATTTTATTTTATAAAGAAGAAGAAGGAATGAAAATACACTTTACTCCGAAATAAAAAAAAATTATCTCTTTCTCTCTCCTTCTTGCAAGGTCACGAGTTTTTTAAATGCTTCATCTTTTCTGTCAACTCAATCATTTCACTCACAGGAATATTTGATGCTACTTCACAGCCCTTAAATAAAAAGAATGAGTTGATAGTAAATACACTATATTGTCTCTATTTACTCTCTCAGTTTCATGAATTGTGTCCTGGATATGTTGAATTTGATCTCTAAACTCCTTTTTCTGATTGATCAATTGATCCATCAATTCACAATTTTTTGCTTTGATCTATAGTTAACCATCAGAACCAGATCATTGATCCCATGTTGTGTTATTCACTCACGTCATCATATTCTTGTTGTAATCTCATCAATTCATTCTCTTTGGCTTCATGAATAATACTATTTACTATTTGTTCAGGTGCAGGAAGAACTCTAAATAGTTGAATATCAGTCACTTGTCTTTAATCATTGCTCATGTACCTTTTCTCTATCGGTGGTTTATTCTTGGCATTCTTTATTAATTCATCAAAGCGTTCCATTTGTTCATTCAGCTGATACTTTGTTCTTAATTCCTGCGTTTTATTCTATACCTTTTATTAATATCATTCTTATGTAATTACGCTATTACCCTTAATTCATTAGTCATAAAGTCTTGTGCTTGTGAGTGAGCATTCTCTAATTCTTCCATGCTTTCTTCTGTCAACAGCTTTTCCAATGAGCGCTTTAATAAATGTAGACTAATATATAAAGAGAGGAAGGGTAAGCTCTTTGTTACATTTATTATTAGTGATCATTTACTCAAATGCTTTAATTGAAGATTCGATCCATTTATTCGTCAATTCATCAAACTTGTCTCTTGTCGTTTTATCCTCTGCAGGTGTTTCATGAGACATCAATGAGAAAAAAGAGAGGGCTACTATCGGACTTTAACCAATGAAAGAGTGACGGTTGCCACACACATATATATACACATACACTCATTTACAAGCTGGTTTATGAAAACTCCATGCATATATACACACACACACACGTATAACTGTTTTTGCTGTTTTTATTCTTCATATAAAATTAGAGGTAAACACCTGCGGCATTGGAAGCAAAGATGGCACCAAAGCCGAGAAGAACTGAAGCAATGATGGCTGACTGAAGTTGTTGAATGATGGGTGTTTTCTTTTCCTGACTATTATTAAAATGATGAATATTTTGTAATTTACATTCACGCGTAAACTTACATTATAAATGTTCCAGCAGCAAATAGACCGATCGTAATACTAAAATAAGCAGCCAAGAAATATAAGGAGCGTGGAATGGGGGCTGTAATGGGTGTTCCAGAGATCCAGTCATCCTTTCAACAGTGTTATTATTCCTATTTATGGTTTACATGTTTACGTACCATTGCTGTCATCTTATTTAAAAAGAACAAAAGGAGAAGAAAAAAAAAAGTAATTAGTATCGGAGTCAGGCTACTAAACCAAATATATTATATCATCCATAAAGGTTATCCCATTATTTTTCCCTTGATTATAATTCATGAAAAAAGGGGAGAAGATACAATATTAATGTTTATATATAAAGATATATATATATATATATAAAAGAGGAGAGAATGGGGATAAAAGGATAAAATAAAGAGAGTATTGCCGTAAAGGGGAATATAAAATAAATTTGCATAAACTTAATATTCAGATCCTATAGGCGCCGACAGTCTACGCAACGTCTTTTCTTCTTCACTCGATCGATGCTTCAAGGCAAGTTTTTTGTTATATTGCCATCCAACCATTGAAGGATTATTCATACTGAGTCTACCAAATGGTCTTGCAACATCATCATGATTATTAGCTTCAACTGACCTTTGGACCTGATACCAATGCTCCATTATCTTATTGCCGTAATCTTGAAGCTCCTCAATGGTCACAAACAAGTTGTAGTCGTTCAAATATAAAAACTCAAGTTCAAGTGCGTTTAATTCTTTCACAGGCAATCCACCCACCTTTGATGCATCAAATCGGTCAATGCTTCACAGTTCGTTATAAAGACACTTACTTTGGCGTATCGAGTATTAGTAAAGAATATATCAGAGTATAGTTTACTGGAAATCATTAAGCCTGTGATAATAAGTCGATGTATACTGTAAGAATCAATGTGAAGCGGTGGGATATGGCGTGAGGGTTTAGGTTGTGTCATCCGATCAAAATAGACTAAGAGAGCAATCAAGCACTCATTAGCACATGGACAGTATTTTAATATACGAGTGAAATAAGCATGAATAGATATGCTGGGAATAGAACGTGCGTGGAAACAAGTATAGGATGAAGGATCAAGTTTACCAGCGTTTAAATGAAGTCTGTCATTGCTGCTGGTGATCTTTTCTAGTAATGATGTCAATAACTTGATGGTGTCTTTGACTGGATGATTGGCTAAATCAAACTGTGGTGAATTCATTATTAAAAAGAAAGAGAAGAAAAAAGCTTAACTCCCCCCCTACTCCCTCTCTGTGTGTGTCTCTCTCCCAAATAAACACTATTTACAATCTGAGTTCAAAACTATCAATCACTGTAATGTTTTAATGAGACGCTTGTGTAAGTAAAATTTATGTGGACGTAATCAAAGTTTAATACGAGACGTCAACAAAGAAAAGTAGCATCACACATGCCAAGAAAACACATTTCAGGCAGAAAGAAATAAGTGAAGCTAATGAAAACTATCGACAATTCTCTTTCCGAAGAGCTTCCAATGCACCTTCAAGAAGTATTGCTTACACTAAGCAAAAGACTAAGTACATCTTTCATTGTTCTCTCTTTTTTTTAAGACTCTGCGTACAACCCAGAGATATACGAGTATCTATTCTGTCCAATGCAAAATCCATTAAATAACCAAGGCGTGCCAAGGTTTTAAATGAGTTGTAAGCCACTGCTTCAAGAGTAGTTTTAATTGAGTCAGCTGCATTGTTTCCGTCATGCTAATGTAAATTACAGGATTTTAGTCTTAATTGGTACGGTTGATTTTTTTTT